CATCTTGACATCACACTCAATGATTGTCGGACTTCTGACAGGTGTGAGTTGAAGAACCGAGTTAAAAAAAAATAAATAAAAATAAAGTAGGTACTTCGATTTATTAATATTTTATTCGCCCTTCCTTATATGTGTGGCTGATCTACTCTGCAATCTATGATTGATTTTGGCCACTCGAAAAAATCTCCCTTCTTCTTTTCTTTATCGTTTCTTCTTCAGTCAGTTACTCCAATTTTCCTGAGATCCTCCTTCACTACACGTCTTTTTGCCAGCTTTTTCTAAGGCTCCCTCTCTTCCTCTTTTATGAAAAGGACTCTTTTCTGTCCTTCTTCGCCATTCGTTCGGTGTGTAACCTTTTCATGTCCCAATCAGCTACTTTTACTGAAATTAACAATTATCACTATACCTTTATTTTATTTATCCAACCCCTTGTTATTTCTTCTGCGCCAGACCTCCATGTTGGCGGAGTAGGCTTTACTTTCCTCTTGAAGACTCTAAGAGCCTTGGACGTTTGTTTACAGTGTCTATGTTTCAGTACCATAGCAAACCACGAGTCTGATAAGTGATTTTATACATATTTAATTTTTACAGAGCAGGGACGATTTCATATATTTCACAAGGCCATAGTCACGCTTTATAACCATTCAGTATTCTTTTCTTGATATCTTCAATACAATGACCTAACTTTCGGAGGTAAATTCCTGTACTGAAGTATGCGAAATGATCAACAGCTTTAGAGGTTAAAGAGGGTTGATCTTAATATGAATTGTTTACCCTTAAATGTAACCAATAGTGTTGCCCAAAATCGACCAAGACAAAGACCGCCTAATTGTTGCAAGACCAAGACTGATTAAAAAAATCGATTTTTTGCATACAAATTAAGGCAAAATAGTTACCAACACTTGTCAATTTTAGTTACTTGTTGTATAAGAATTGCTATAACCAATATACTTTTTCAACATTTCTAATTTTTTATTCGAGTGTAGTTAGGTTTCACCTTTCTAAAAAATTACTGTGTTATCTTTATATTAATAAGCTATCAGATAACTGCAAGACCAGTGCGAGACTCATGCGCAAGACCAAGAATTAGACCAAGACTCGTCTCGGTCTCGAATTTGGGCAGCACTAATAACCAAGAAATCATTTACTTCCAAATACCACTCGTGAATGGGGTAATTAAGAAATTTCTCGAAAATTGTCATAACTGACTTGCTGGACATCCTAATGCGTTTTTATGAACATTACTAACATAAATAATACCGAAGAATCTGACAAGCATACTTAAATGTCTGCAACATTTTTTTGGAAATGAAGTTAGGAGTGTCTTCACTTGGAGATTTTTCCAATCAAACATTCATGATAATCCCGGAGGAAAAGTTCGCCTATAATGAAAATATTTGTAATTCATGGCAAAATGTTTACAATCCATCCTCACGACTTGGTACATCTTCGAATCCAGCAACAAATCATCCTGGGTATTCGGAGATTTAGATTTACGTTTGGTCTCCCTTATTCTCGAATCTCAGGGTATCGTGACAGTAGATCCATTGTGTTTATAAAAGTTAAGGAATCTGTCTGCTGGACTTTTGTAGATAACCTTGTATGTATGTATATATTTTTTTATTTTTATTATTACTCATTCTTAACCAGTGCTGACTTCATATATAGCAAAAAAAAAAAAAAAAAAAAAAAAGAAACAAAATAAACCGATTTCGCTCATTGAAATGGATGGGAACATTTTTTAGAGGAAGGAGTTATTGATAACGAGGACTTTGGAATTTCTAATAAGAAGTTGTTAAGGGGCAGGCAGACCTCCCATCGCCAGCCGTGACCGGGTCTTGAACAAACCGCCTCTCCTTGTGATTTGTTAATGTTAATATTGTCTCATATCTCTCTTCACATAGATTCCTTTCTTTTCAAGTTATCGTTTCTGTTGAATATGCCAAATATTTAAAATAAGCAAACTGTGGTTTATATAATTTCAGATAAATAATAGATAATCCCCACATATATTATTATAGTAAGGCTCGAAATCGGTTTTGTACCAAATATAAGCTCCTGTCATGCTCAAATACCATGAATGGGGCACCGTTGGATTCAGAATTTCACGGGGGTTTAGCGAATCGTATTCTATACTTTTGTTTTTCTTTCTGAAATAAATAAAGTCGATACGAACATTTTGCTAGGCTTCAATACTGGAATGGGTGTAGGTTTGTAGATCGAAACGGGACAAATTGGGCCTTGAAGATTTTGATACGTACAGCAAGACGTATCGGCCCTCCGGAACTATCGGGCCCTACATTTTTAATCCCAAAAATGTACTATTTTCAAGATAACACTAGACATAGGATTCGCATCCACACAACCTTACGTTAATTGTAGTACTGTCATTGAATACATGTCTCATTTCGTCGACTTGAGCCCTCTATGATCTAGAGAGGAGGAGTTTATATTATTTATCGATGGTGTTTTTGATCGGCAAGCCATATCATCGTTAATTCCTCAATAAATCTAAAGATTGAGCCACCAATTTCGAAGGCTTCCTTCTCCTTCAGGAGGACAAAATAGTCCTATCATCCCTAAAATTCAGGCAAACAAGTTATGAAAGAAAACAAACATTATTTGCGAATAACTAAAAATTTACGCACTTTTCCTTAGGTTTTTACGCACTAAATTCTCTACAAAAGGAAAAAGAAATCATCGAAATCGGACAATTTTTAGCAAAAATACAGCTTATTGAAATTTGTAAACATGTTGGTTCCAAACATTAATGAAGTTTTAAAGTAATTTTTGTTTCCTTTGTCAATTATATTTATCGATAAAGTAACAATTGATTTATTTTCTTATTAATTTGGCATTTGAAAACGATATGCTGTACGAAAGTTTCGCACTGGCCTACTGGTATAATAATATTCAGATATTACTTAATCTAGAATTGGTCATATATGGTCTAATTGTGATCTCGAAACTCATTGTCTCTTATGAATTTAACTAATACCACTACAGCATATGCAATAGCTTTATTACGAAAGTGATTGGATCAGCCTAACTTAAAAAAAACCTGCAATTTATTACACATAAAGGAAAATAATTAAAAGATGATTCCTAATATTGACCTAAGTATTTTTTTCTTTTATCAAGACGACAATCTTAATTGCTTCAGTTGATGTAAAACTATCCAAAAATCACAATAAAAAACAAAGTATATCAGCTTTGCAGTTGAGCATGTGGAAAACACTTAGAACAACACATCTTTGTACTCGCCCTTTGAAATCGTCCGATTTCAACATTTCTTTTTTGGTTTATTATTTTCAATAATGAACCATTGTAATCGAAAAAAAAATCCAAAACTTAATCCCCTCTCAAAACTTGAGGTTTTAAGATATGTAGAATTCGAAAAACGTATAAAATTTTTTTTGTCCGTCCGCCGTCCGCGCATTTTCTCCGAAACTACTGGACCGATTTTTTTTTCAAATTTAAATTTTAAATTAGGGGTCACCTAAAGATGATCCTCCATTTACATGTCTATCCGACTTTTCCTTTCAAGATGGCGACCAAAAAAATTGCGTTACTGTAGACTGTAGCGACTATGGTTATTTAAAAGTTTACGGAAGTTACAAAAAAAAAAAACTTTAAAATCGGACAAGTGGATCAAAGATGTGGTCTCTAGATGTTTTTTATATGTTATACTGCAAAGGTTTTATCCTTTGTTTTGGTTTTTGAATGTGTTACTGAAGGAATGCTAATTTTTAGCATATTACTGATTATTAAAAAAAAAAAACTTAGTCCAATTATTGGAATCAATTTTTATTTCTTGTTCTTTGTCACTAGGAAGGTAATGTTACTTCAGATGTATAATTGTTTCGAAATAATAAACCATTTTGAAATAATTTGCAGCGTTTTTATTTTTTTAAGAATTTCCTTAAACTTTTAGAAACGCATAACAATCGAATAGTTGTATACTTTTTGAGTTATTCGGAAATCTAATTTTACCTCTCCTCGTAACTTTTTTTCCGGCATATTTTCGGTGAACTATGTTTGGTGAAGACTTTGACGAAGTTTCTTTACAATCCGTGCATAGGTTTAAGCGCCACGGTTCATTCAACATTGGGTCTGCAGCAGCCAAGAAATAACTTTCTGATTTTTCTCTCACCATGTCGTCTCCGAATAATTATTTTGTTTGAAATGTACTTTAGTAGCTCTGTATATGTATACCAAGAGCCACCTTGACAGTATCATTTTTGGTTGGGATAAACTTTTTCAATGAGAATCGGCCCTAACTATAGGGATGCCCGCCCAGAAGTGAAATTTTTTTTGGCGATTCTATTCGGAGGAACTTCTAAATCAGGGAACTAAAGGAAAAATTTGAAACATACATAAGTGTAAATTTATATAATTTATAATTTTTCTAATATTACTTCTGCTTGCACTGTTGGCATTCGAGGGCACGCACCATCGCTCCTGCTTTGGATGAGTACCCTTGCCTGACTTATATCGAAGGTCATTTAATTATACATCTATATAACGACTTTAGTCGAATTCGTTCGAGCTATTCTCGAAACAATTGTAAAAATTTGCAAGTTGCACTTTATGTTTAATTCATGAATTCCTGTTGTTCATTTGTTAATTATATAGACGTACTCATTATGCAAATCAACGATGCATACATCATTTAGATTTAATGCTAATATAGCTAGTAGAACGTAGTGGCGATTCGTAGCTAATATGAATTATCTTGTGTTGTACGAGGGATTTACAATGACTCTATCATTTGTAATATATTATTTCGATACCGGTTGCTGTGGAACGTCAGTGTTACGGTTCCTCTATCTGTAATGTCACCAAGAGAATCCTTCATTGACTTATGTATTTATATTGATATTCATATCATATCTAAATGACAAAGGATAATTTATCTGGAATGATTTACGGTGGATCGGTGGCTCACATCGTAGAGATAGTCCCGAGGGCATCTGGATCATGCGTCGATCAAATCCCAATCAGCCTCTTCTCGGAATATCATGTCGGTGCGTGGTATCTTTATGCATTCCAGGAATGTCACCCTGGAACTCCTTCCATGATGTACCGTCGAGCGGTCTCATCTGAATGCTAAAAAGAATTCATACATAATACATTATCTATTCTCAATAAATTCTTACTGCTTACAGTGTTCCACACTTAGCTAAGATTGCAATTAACCAGTGCTGAGGAAAAATTGCGGATAATGCTCCTCAGAACTCTTTGTTTCCGCCCACACACCTTTACTATACATATTTTCTATTATTGAAGTCATATCCTTTCCATCTCAGACACAGTTTGGTATCTTGGATTCCTTTTAGACAAAAGACAAGAACTTAACCGACGACTTGGCCAGTTATACAGACTACTTAACAGAAAATCTAACCTCTCAATTGAAAACAACCTATTAATATACTAGACCATACTGAAACCTACCTGGACTTGAACTATGGGGGACAACTAAATTTGTCCCAACAGGTCCCACGAGGACAATCAAACATCAAACGCATCCAATCCTTTCAGTCTAAAGTCCTCCGTATAATAGTCAATGTTCCTTATTATGTCACGAACAAAACCTTACATCATGACCTTAACATCCCTTATGTCCTTGACGTTATTCCATCCTGATTTTCAAATTTTCATCAGAACCTAATCCATCATCGTAATCCCTTAGCACAATCCATATCCAGTTCAAGTCATTCCTATAATCCTCCTTGAAGGTTGAAGCGGCAGTGGCCTCGAGATCTTTTGTAAAGACGTCATTGGAGTCCTGGCGATAGCCAGCTTCTCCACTCAAGTCATGAGCGTATGTAGCTTTAGTGCCCTCTCTTAGTCTCCACTGGATTCCCATCCTAGTGATGAGTCTGAGGGAGAAGCACTGGAATCTCTTGGAGTCTCGCCTCATCTTCCACACGTGGGGGAAAAGGCCCGACTCGGAGTTCCCTCGGCTGATTGTAAATAAGTATGAATGTGATTTTATTTATTTTTTTATTTAATGTTGTATCATGTTTATTTTATTCTGTTATTCCAAGTTTTCTTTTATTGTATTTTATTATAATCTTGTTTTTCTTTTGTTGTATATATGGTGGTATGTTTGTGTTTCATTCATCCTAAATACTCAATGCCCTTAATTGAGGCAAAATGTATTTTTTTTTCTCAATAAAATATTATTATTAAAAAAACATAGTCTTGTCAAGGAAAAACGCACGCCTAATCGAAAGAACTTGACAAAAATTTTATAAAATAGACGTAGGGCCATCCACTAGCGGATCCAGGATTTAATTTTTGAGTTGGGGCTTCAGCCTGAAATATTTTTTTTTTTTATGTATGTATTAGGATAAATATTTCAGAAGAAAGAAAGAAGTTACTAGTTATATGAAATGGTGTTTTAAGTGATTCTTGTAGTCCTATTAAATGTAATTATACCAACAATAATACTTTTAGAAATAATTGTTTTCATAAAACCTGGTTATATTTTACCATGTTGGGGGGCTCCAGCCCGAAAGACCCCCTCCCCTCCTTTGTAGATCCGCCTGTGGAGCCATCTAGGTATTAACCCTGGCAATTTCTGGAGACCTCATTTAAATAAAGTTATAAATGAATATAACCTCGGTTTTCAAATGCTCACTGCCTAGAAAACTTCACAGTCATTATATTCTCAACATGTTAGGTGTACTGATTTTAATAGTTAAAGTGAATTTTATATTACACTATTTTAATATTATATTACTCCGATTTCCTCCAACTTTAGGTCAAGTCGAATGAAACGTTTTCAAAATAAATCAAAGAAAAATATAATATAAGACAAACAAGGAGAAGTGTAAAAACACTACTGGAATAAATCCTAAAAACCCTACCCTACTGGAATAAAATAAGACGGGAAAGCAATGTTGGATTAATCTTTTAAGTTAACAATCTTTATTTTTAGAAATATATATATTTACTTCCGTTATTTAAAAATATTTAATTTTTAAATATTAAAATATTTAACATAATTTATGTTAAAATAAATGGTTGTAGGTGAGATGCCCTTCCCATAGATTTGACTACAGACAGACAGACAGACACCGAACCAAATTTTATCTTTGATGTCTGAAACTTAAAACGCGACTTCACAATTTTCGATTCGGAGCACACACTTTTTTTTTAACCTCTCGCACGAATCCAATGCTTCCTTCCCTACCTTTGGTAGTGGAGAAGCAAAAAGAAAAAATAATCATTGTAATATATATCAAAAATCAAAGATTGAAACTAACTTAAACACATTTGTACTTGCGAATAAGGAAATATTTTTAAAAATATAATTTGATGAAAATAGTTTAGTACCTACTTCGTCGTTTGTTTACTAATGCCTAACTTCCTTCGAAAATAAGAAATAATAGAAAAATTCAGAAACAATGTAATGAACTGGGCATAGTGATTTATGTTAAATCCAGCCGTATAAGATGGTTTAGAATACTTAGAACAGATGTGAGATAGATGCTCCAAAAAAAAACTATTATATGTCAAAAGCAAGAGGCATTGATATGGGTACATGGACCAACCTCAATTTCGTGAAGTTCGGATTATGCTCATTAGGCGGTGGAGCACTAAAGTGCCCTTATTTGTATCCCTGTTTATCACTATTGGATATGTTTTGATATTGATATATGACCCTATGTATGAACATTTTTCCAACTGTTTATGAGTCATGTTCTATGATCACTTTCCTTTATCGCTGTGTCAAAACACCCTTACAGACGTCACAGAAAAAACATGAACGGCAGACCTCCTACACTTGACATCATATTTTCCACTAATTGTGATAACAGGATTTGGATATTGAAATGTTTAGGGGATAAAATATATTGAACTCCGCGAATTTGGCAATCAGATACATCCATCATTATCATTTATCGAATTGTAAATTTATCGGTATAATTTTCTTAAATTATTGGGTCTTTTTGAATGTTATGAATAAGCAGCTATTTGTTAGATAATCTGAAAATTTAGAGGAAAAAAAATGTTCCATTGCAGAGATCAAAGTGAAAAGAATCGTTCAAGATAGGTTGAGTAAATTGGAGTAGATTACAAGAGACAGTTATGTTTGTCCTTCTGTTGAAGAGAACCCTTTCTGATAGTTTCTTTTCTTAGTGTAAATTTTAATCGTATAACACGTTTGTATTTTTAAAATATTACAGCTTGTTCTTAGTAAATAAATAAGGATTGAGTTATAAATGTGCGGTTGGTAGCGACGAACTAAATTTTTGGTAGACTATGTCCTGCTGAATTATTGAGGTCGAAATTCCACCCCAGAATCTGCGTAGAAGGAAAATCATTGGAAAAATTCAAATAACTCGGCTACTCAAAGACATCAATGAAGTAATCTCTCCCAACGGGGAGAAATAGACCATCGGATAGCTCGCGCTAACAGAACTTTCTTCTCCCTTTCAAAGGTATTGAAATCCCGAAAGATCCTAAGAAATTGCAAATTAAGGGTGTACAATGCAATGATAGTCAGTTCTAATATATGGTTGTGAGACTAGAAAAAAGTGTTGAAAGATTTAAGAGAAAAATCCTCCGCACAATAACCGAAGCGATCAGGGATCAGAGTAATAACATATGGAAAAGAAAGACCAATAAGGAACTACTTACAGAAACTGGTCAATCAATATCCCATGATATGAAGGCATGGAGGTTAAGATGAGCGGGACATATAGGTCATAGCAACCCATCTGGAAGCCTCAATAGAAGGCAAAAGTGGAAGACTAAAAAGCAGATGGATAGATAGAATCAATAAATATGCAATAGAGCTGCGTGCCGATAAATGGAAATAAATATCCCAAGACAGGCAGAGATGGAGCAGGCTTGTTAAGGTGGCAAAAGATCTACATGGTCTATTATGATGATATTTTCTTCTAAACCACGTATTACATGGACACTAGAGTATTCAAGGGGAGGGATGCTTTCGGACTCAACCTTCCAGAATTGATTTTTTTTCTTTTCGTTGTTCCATATATGTTTCTATGAATGATCTGAACTTAAACAATCACAATATATTTTGTTTTTTAATCATAACCGAGATGCCTCAGTAACTAAATGCACCTTGCCAAGGAAACATATAACAATTATATTTCTAAAACCATTATTATTCCTTTGATTATCTTTAATTAAAACAAAAAAAAATAGCCCTTCCAAAATTTAGTCCTCAATTCACAATTTTACATGAATGTGCCTGTGTGTACACTCGCTTTTTTTTACTCACAATCTCTTTTTTTTATTCTTTATCACTTTTTTATCATTGGTTATGGTTATATATTTGTAAAAGATTAGCTAAAATATTAAAAATAATATTTTCATATTTTTTTTTTGATACGATAATTTCTTAAATACTATGGTTTAAACAGAAAAATAGTTTAAAAATATCTATTAAAATGAATCATTGCTAGGATTCAGAGTGTCATTGATAACACTTTTAATGATTAATAATTCAGACAAACATTATTTTATTTCATGTTTTTAATCTATGAACCTGAAATAGAATGATTTCTAAAAGAATTTTGTCTTTCTGCCATTTTCCCTGAACCTAAACAACTGGCTAGAGTGTCAACTCTGAATAGGTTGGAGCAGGATGGTACCCGTTACACGGTCTGTCAAGTCCTTCCAAAGGAGTCATTTGTCAATGACCCTCCTTCCCTTCGGAGGTGAAGGGCATTGACGTATTGGCCTAGATACATGGTCTTCTCTTGCCATGTTCTATAGGTTCGCTGGAGAGAGATACCTGAGTTGGACGGGGATAATGTCTAGCGGTTATCTATTCAAGTGCCGTATTGTACTGTTGGTACCTTAGGTGTTAGGAACGCGCAGGACTACTTATACTGAATCCTGGCTGGATCTCGATGTTTTATTTTGAAAAGGATATATGGTAGACCTCCGACGAATCATCATGGTTATCAATATCATGGTATGATGGAATCTTGTTAGGCCCCCTTCACTCTGATATAAGCGCTTGGAACTTAACATGCGGTGAATTAGAAGTTTCATTGTATAATTCTGTTTACACTGTCTCCTCGAAATAACCTTGGAACGAAAATCAGTCGCTTTACACATCGTTTTGTTAGACTATATCATTAAAACATCTGCTAGAATGCTTCACTTAGCTCTATAATTTTAGCATAAATTATTTTTTTAATATTTTCAATTATTTTATATCCTAGATATTAATGTTTCTAAAATCTTCATCTTTTCAACGGCCTAGGATCCCTTGGCCGTAAATGTGGTCGAGAATCTGAAATCCCAGCTCATGTATTGGGAAAATGTCTTAAACTGCTCCTTGTTACACGCCGGCACAATAATATAAATAAATAACTACCCGAACTCCTAGAAATGAACAATTATAGATGTTTCCTCGAATTAACTAGTCCTGTCATAAATATTGTTACAAGGAAATATATACAGATTTCAACAGAAAAATTAATTTTTTCATAAACTTTATTAGAAAATATAATGTATATCTATAAAGAGTAAAACAAAAAAGAAACTACTCAAAATGTGCTCCTTTTGCCTTGACACAGGGATTTAATATCCGTGGCCAATCATAAATAGCCGCACGCAGCACTTCTTGCTCGCACGCGCACTCAACTGCTCGAACCAGAGATTGTTTGAGGCTTTCCAAGATATGGTTTGTTCTGTGGCATGTCATACTCTCCAGTTCGGACCAAAGCCGATAATCTACTGGAAAACCTAATGACTTACAGCAAACAAAGTATCATTTAGTGGCTTGACAACAGATTCTAAAATATCGTCCTGATAGTTTTTAGCGGCTGTCCTTTTTCACAAAAATGGAGCTTTGTGGTACCATCAAAGCAAACTCCCCACCATGCCATCACTGAGGAAGGGTGAAGACCTCTTTCCACCCTTCCAATGACTTCCTAAGATTCTTTAGAACAGTGTGCGTACATACGATCATTTTGGAGGTTAAATTTTTCTTCAACCGTAAAAATTTTCTCATCGCTAAACAAAATCTTAGAAGACCATTGGTGTATCGGCCAACGAGCACTTTGCATCTATCCACTCTATATTTGTTTAAGGTCAGTAATTAGACTTTGTCCTGTCATTCTTTGAAATGCTCCCATCCTAAGATCACTTTTTATTATGCGAGACATTGATCTTTCAGAGATTCCCATTTCCCGAGACATGATTTGTGGTTTTCGAATGAGATTTCTTCTGATTCGAGCAAACACTATTCTCATTGCATTTGCCGTCCTCACATTGCCCGGTCGAGATCTGCCACATACAGATAGGGTCTCATTATAGCTATTTATAGTGCGGTGCACGAACATACGGCTGATACCCAAAGGTTTCAAAGTATTGAAAATCTCTGACCAACATTTTCCAACTTTGTGTAAGGCGATTCGGTTTTCTTTATAACCCTATTCCATATTAACTAAGCGAAAGAAAATACAAACTAATTGGGATTATTATCCTGACATGTAAAGAAAATAACCTGATAGAGTGAAGGATTATTTAAATAATACCCAAGGATGGAAACAAAGTTCAACTTTTGTAACAATATTTATGACAAAACTAGGTTTATTGCCAAGGTGAAGATTCAACAAGGTTCGTTGACGTTTTAGTGTTTAATGAGACAAAATAGGGGACGCTATTACAGTGGATCCCTCTGATATGAAACTAATGATCACGATAAAAACTTCAAGTTAAATGACAGAGAAAGAGAAATTTTATGAGAAATGCATACCTTACTTAAAATAAAAATCTAGTGATGAATTCAGAGAGAGAAAATTCTCAGTTAATAAGAAATATTCTTTTATATTTCGTGATAATGAGATTTTTCCTCAAAACTAATGGGTAGTAAGTATATACCTGAAGGGTGTACATGACTGCAATGCCTACTAGATAATTATCATAATTATAATTTAGAGAGGAATGTAATTACCTCGACTAATGGATACGGAAATAGGCTTTTCCGGTGTAGCTACTGATTTGTTTTCGTCTCAAGTGTGAGCGGTTATTTCAAATATATTAGATTAATCGGTCATTTATTTTAAGTTTTGGTTTATTATTTTCAATAATGAAACATTGTGATCGACCAAAAAAATTCAAAAATAACTCCCTCTCAAAATTTGAGGTTTCACATTTCAAGACGCGTAGAATTCGAAAAACGAATAAAAACTTTTTTTGTCGTCCGTCTCCGCCGACCGCCGTCCGCTCATTTTCTTCCGAAACTAATGAAAATTTTTTCAAATTTTTTATATAAAAATCAGAGGTCACCTCGAAGGATGATCCTCCTTCATCGACATTACTCTCGCCTTTTAACTTTCAAAATGGCGGCCGAAAAACTGCGTTGCTTAATTGACTGTTGCTCCTAAAACGAATGTACAGATTTCAATGAAACTTCGCTAAAGTCATTTTCTCGACTCCCTTTAAATTTATCTATGGGAATTTATACTTCAACGAAAAGAGCTGGCAAAAAAATTTACGAGGATGGTAATTAAATTCCGAATAACTCGAAAACTTTTTTGTTGTTATCGTATGTTTCAAAAGTTTACGAAATTCCCTAAAAAAAAACAAAAAAAAATCGTTTAATCGGGACAATTTAGAGCAAAGATATGGTCTCCGTTTTTTTTTTTTTTATGTGTTCTACTCCAATATGTTATATCCTTGAGTTTGGTTTTTAAGTTTTAAATGTGTTACTGAACTAATAATTAATTTTTTTTTTTAGCACATTAATATGGTTTAAAGAAAAACAGTTTAGTCCATGAAGTGGAATCACTTTTTGTTTTTGTTTCTTTGTAACCAGAGGTATTGTTACTTTAGATGTTTAATTGTTTGGAGATAATAAACTATTGTGAAATAATTTGCAGCGTTTTTTTTTATTAATATAAAAAAAATTGTTTATTTACTTGACAGTCAATTATTTAGTGAACCAAACGAGTTATTTAGATCATTGCAGTAAGATTTTTCAGCTATGAAACTGTTATATCGAGCTCTAAATTAACTGGTTATTAATTATCTGTTTCTTTTTTTGCCATTCCATCTTTACGGGCTGTTTCAAGTTGGTAAATTAACTCTAACCTTATCCGGTGCAATCTCCTTTGATATGATTACAACCTCTACTTGATATCGAATCCAAGGAAATTATTTTTACTGACAATCTATTAACTCTTTTTTTTCCAGATTATTAAAACGACTACAATTGCACTCCGACGGCTCGTTGTTGATTTGATTTATATATATACTTACGGTTATTAACGTAGAACATATTAATTTATTATTAATAATTTCAAAATACTTTCTAAAAAAAAAAAATGGCTCAGTAGTCACGGAAATAGAAGCTAGAGACGGTATCGTTACAAAACTTGTTTTAATATATATATATATATATATATATATATATATATATATATATATATATATATATATATATATATATATATATATATATATACATACACACACACACACACAGAGACAGAAATACTTTATTTAAAAAAATAACTGCAGGTTTTTTAAGTAAAGTATTTCTGTGTTATAGCTATTATATCTCTCTTTAATATATATACATAGAGAGAGACAGAAATACTTTATTAAAAGTAATGATGCCCTACTACATAGCGTTGCTTAATACACAGACAGCTTAAAAATCCATATAGACATAACTATTATATTACATTTTTATATTTATATGTATTATATATATATATATATATATATATATATATATATATATATATATATATATATATATATATATATATATATATATATTTATTTATATATATATATATATATATACATATACTTGTTTCGTTAGGCACAGTTGATTGAGCCTTTCAGTTGACAGAATGACTAGTTCCAATTTCAAGATTTTTGAGTCATTTTAGTGATATTTTTGGTTGGAAAAATTATAATTCTGTACAGACAGTGAGTAAGTTCAGTGAATAAAAGTATAAATTTTACTACTAGAAATATAGTAACTAATTAGTAAAATTAATAATCAAAAATGTTGAAATTGTAGTAAGTCATTTTGTCAACTGGAAAACTCAATTAATAGTTATTTAATTAATTTAGGAACTTTTTAAAGTTAATTCATTTTTTGTTTAGTTACTTGTAGTTTTTTCTCATTTTTTTTTTTTTTTTTGAAAATTAGAGATGAAAGAGTAGCTCATTACACTATGTACAATAAATAAACGGCAAAATAATAATACTAAAAATTAATTTATATAAACTAAAAGAAACTAAACCAATCAGAATAACTACTTAAATAAACACATGCTTTTACAGAATATTTACAAAATTCATTTACTCAAGATCTCCGAGCCAAGCCTTTCCTCCCACTCGTGGAAATAAAGGCAGGACTCTAGGAGATCCCAGCGCCTCTTACTCAGCCGCATTACTGGTATTAAAGACTAGTAGGGACTGAGTAGAGGCGCTATAGATCCAAGATTAAAACACTTAATCTGTACATGGAGGTATTATGTTAATAGTTAAATGTTTTATTATTTTTATACTCCATTTTTATTGATACATTCATTTATAATATATGTCTACTTTACAAATTCCGTTATATTACTATATTTTAGAGGGGATGTTGAGGTCCAAAAAAAAAAAAAAAATTCTGTCTGACTACTATTTCATCCTAAATGTTGATAATAATTATAACAGTCTTGGAAGACCTATAATGATCCCACTTTCGATGATAAAGCTGATACCCTTCCTGATACCTTCTTCAGATTGCGGCCATTTCGAAAGAGGACTGCCCGGAGCGCGGTCGCCTTCCTTCTCACATATTTTCGAAACGTCTTTATTATGGTGACGTGATTCGAACCCCTGCCTCGGCCGGTTATTACTGCTTAATGATTGGTGTGCGCGCCTTCGAACCCTGATGGAGCGATTCGAAACACGTCCACATAATAAAGCTATTTCGAATAGGCCTCTCTGCATGCTGCAACCGCTATAGCGGATTCACATCTTATAACTGTAATCTCGTCGATTTATTATTGTGTTGAAATGAATTTGAATATATATTTCAAAAAATATAATTATGATTATATATTTTATTACTTTGGTACATGAACGTTTGCATTGTCGCTTATTATAAAAAATCAAAAATAGCAAAACTAGTAGAAAATACAGTTGTTCCATTAATATTTTTAGGTTTATTATTTTCAGGAACGAAACATTGTAATCAATCGAAAAAACAAAACAGTTAACCTCTCAAAATTTGTAATTTTACGTTTTATGATATGTAGAATCCGAAAATCGAATATTATAAAATCTGTCCGTTCACCTTCTGCTACTCCAAAACCACTTTACCAATTATTTTGAGATTTTGTATCAAAGTCAAAAGTTTCTCGAGTATGATCCTTCCAACTCGAAATTATCAGCCACCATCTTGCTTCAATTTTGCCGAAAAATCGTGTAATGGAATTAAAAATCATTGAAATCGGACTACTAGGTGCAGAGTTATTGCGTTTTGAACTTTTTACTCATTATTTAATGCTAAGATGTTTTCTATTTTTTGAATATTTAATAGTTGACCGTTGCATTATAAAGGAAGGAGATGGTCCGCGGTGGCGGTCATAAATAGGCTAAATAATAGCAAAACTATTTTATTAAAAGCCAACCTTTCAACCCGACTTTGCAGGTCTTCTTCAGGAATCTGGTAGGAGGATTAGAACTCCAGTTCTAAGTGAAACTCCTAGCTGAACACACCTTTCTGAAGAAGATCTGCAAAGTCGGTTCGAAACGTTGGCTTTTAATAAAATAGTTTTGCCACTATTTAGCCTATTTATGATCGCCACCCCGGACCATCTCCTTCCTTTTCTATTTTTTGTTTTTGATACCTTATTTCTTAATAAATTATAATTGTTCGAAGCACCCCGTAGAGGAGGAGGAAACGAGAAGATATTCTACTAATTTTTCATCATTTTATATTATATAATATATAATTTTGTTATAATGTCTATCCTATTGACATGGATTTTAAAATGAAAATGAATCTGCTTCCTGAAATGTAAAATCTCTTAATATTCAATAAATTAGAAAAAAAGGTTGTAAGTTCAAGAATTTTGAAAAGGAATTAACCTTATGAATTATTGCTGGTATTTAAAGTGTTAACTTAGGGATATTTTTTTGCACATGGTTCTGAGATGAAGCGTATTTTAATTGGCTTGAGGCGGTATCCTCCCGAAGACGACACATCCCGATAAAGGCCTATTTCTGAAGAGGAGTCACTGATAGGGAATATTGCTCGGCGATGCGTGCGCTTTCAAGTTATTCTTAGCACCTAGCGGTTCTTAAGCCATCTTGCATAAAGATTAGAAGATTATTTCTTCGTTTCAAGTTGGGAATATGACAGTAGTCTGCGTATACTGCAGCGGGAAGAACCATTGGCTAGCCTGTTTGGCGTTTTGCATGAGAATAAATTTCGAGTTTACTATTTAAGTATTTTGTTCTCCTTTAAATTCCCTATTATATAAATTATTTTATAATTATTTTATAAATTATTTTCAGCTCCAACTTTAAAAAAAAAATAAAGATTGATATCAAAACAGTATCAGTTATCTTTTTAACCATGTTTTTAACCACTTTTTTAACCAGGTGTCTGTTTTTTATCTATTTTTTTTTATCCATAAAATATGTATTTGCGCCTGTCAACAATAAGTTGACAATCAGCAAATGTGATGGCGATGATGATATAATGACATGACAGGCATGGGGAAGGAAAGTCAGTACCTCTTCCCTAACTTATTTTTATTTATCGTGCAGAAATAATTTAAACACATTTATAGAATTTTTGAAAATTAAAATACTTTGGTTTAAAATATAGATTAAAAAAGATAAGATTTCGCAAAAATGATATTTTTGGTTTATATATAGGTAATTGATGATATATATATATATATATATATATATATATATATATATATATATATATATATATATATATATATTTTTTTTTTTTGGCTTAAATACGTTTTTTTTTTAAATACGTTTTAAATAGCCTCTATAAATTAATCCATGAAGGAGAAAATCTTGCGTTTGAGCGTGTACCCTTCGTCTCCTTGAACAACCTTTGACGCCTAGAGACAGTATTTTCTTACTAAGGACTGAAATAAAGACTCCTTTTGGAAAGGAGGATTTGAAATTGCAGAAACTAATCCTCTCATTGTGCTGTTTGTGGAACCATTTTTTATTTTAGGGTTTGAACTCTACAGCGTTAACCAACCTAGTTGTTTGATTTTTAATAATCATAGTTGGGTTCACTCCTGACACGTATAACTGAATTTTATATTTTAAAATGTTATCAGCTGTTATTAATTGAGCGTTGCTATCGTAACTGCCATCTTCGTTGCGAGACGCAGACGACACCAGAAGTGAACGTATTGGACAGTGAGGCTTTCACATTCCTCTTCCACTCTTTTGTCCCTCGAGATATTTACGTAATAGCCGTCCTGCTTCCTTTTCTTATTTCCTAGAGGATATTTGTCAGCTCCTGTTGTGTCATCCTGATTCAGCTTGTAAATACCCGGAGGCTGTGTTTACTCCCTTATCGAGCCAATAAATTGTTTGAGGTGGTTTCGGTCGGGAGATAACCGGTATCTCAACTGACCCATAAATTCGTTTGATAAAAAGCTCTCAAGAAAGGTTTGATACCTATTATCATTGTGTGCAAGAAAAGAGAGAAAAAACTTGCCATATAATTAAATTATATTTTCTGGAACCGCGGTGTTCGAGTGGGTTAATGCGCCTGCAAAAATTTTATGCTACGAGTTTAAATCACGTTCGTGGGATTAAATAACAAAAAAATAAAGATAAAAATATGAATAATTAATAATAAATAAGTGCAGACCCTACTCGATTGCTTAGACCACTACAGCGCGGATTAGATTCCCGTATGTGCACGGTAACATTCATACCCAGAGATTCACAGGACCCCTGTGTCTAATAACATAGCTCTTTTGGTCCTCCAGATTTTGGGGGTTGGGCACAGGATTAATAACCATATCCCGTAAAAAACAACAACAACAGGATCTAGACGTATGCAAAAGGTTGCCAACCATCCTGATGAAGAGGGAGTGATTGAAATCGTGTCCGGTTATTGTGAACTGCTCCCCTGGATATCATCATATATATAAGAAGATAACCAAACGATTACAGCTCATCTCCTAGGAAAGCCCCAATGCTGCGAGAAGATTAAGGGCGAAAGTCCAAAGGAGTTTAAAAAAACAACATATATTTTCTATTTAACACGTTTCAATTTTTCACAGAAAAAATCTCCATACTGAACAATTCTATCAAACCTCTTGTGTAAAATACATTGATATTTAATAAATTTGCATTTATCTTTTCGATGACATTATTTCAATAGTTTATTTATTTTTTATTACTATTTCCTATCGGAGCGCTTGGAGCTGTACCTTAAATTCATTTCCCAATAACACCTATATATACAATATATATCAGAGACTGTGCATGGTTTTTAGGTGCCTACGAATTTACCAGGCGCCTATCAATCCATTCTAAATCAGCCAGCCAGTACCCTGTTAAATCAAGATATATCTTTACCTATCTTATAATCACCGACCTATTTTTCTAACAGCAGTAAGTAGAACTGTATTTAGATATACAAATTTCTAATTAATAAATTGTCTAATGGTGTCAGAATTGTAGTAGCAACTAGCCCCGGGCTCATGAAACCTCAGATTCTCTAGGCCTGATTTTTGCTCCTAGAAAAATTTCTGAGAGATCGCAAAAAGAACAATAAAAAACAATAATTATGTTATGAAATTAGGAGGGAAAAAAAAGCTGTCGATTTTTTAGGCAAATATATTGCTATGATACGGAAAAGTTTGGAAAGTAAAGTGAAGTAAGCAGAACATTCTGCTTCATTGTTTTTATTATATTGTGATTCAAGAGACTACGCAAAAGCGTTAGGAGCCAAAGTAAACGCGTCGATCTCCGCTTTATCGACATTAGAAATAAAGAAATCAACATTTTGCAAACTTTCTTAAACTATGGATGCATTTAGTTATTAGTGCAATAATTTTTAGTTTGAGTCGATTTTGTTGAACAATTGGACCCAGAACACACCCTTAGGCCGACCGGCCACCGAAAGCTTAGCCCAGCTGTGCTTTGGGTCGACGAAGATTCGGTTTTGGAAATTGGCTCTGCTACTTTTAGCTTCTCTCCACCACACCTACTTACCTCTGTCACACAACCGTGTGGCTTTGTTCCTCAGTGTCATCTTTTTTTTCCCGCATGTTTTCACAGCACAACCGCTCAAATTCTTTTATTTTAAATAAATAAATATATATGTATATATTTATTTATTTATTTTCATACCGAATTGATGTATGTAGTTTTATTTCGTTTGAGTTCTAAATAATTCCTCTGACCATTTTAAAAATGTTTGCACTTATCTTGTCTATCGGCTATGTTTTTCAAAATTATTCTACATTTATTGAACTGATTCGTTATTGTTATCATATATTTTTTTAAAGTTTCTCTAATTTGTTTCTATGGACTTTAAAAACATTTCCTGATCAGTTTTATTTTACATTTTGAGCACATCATTCTTTATCTCTAGCCTGTTTTTAACATCTAAGGCTTCTCATATTTCAGTTTGTATTGATACTCTGTTCTGGGGATTTCCCCATCTTGAAGAATAATATTTCTGTAATGGTTTTATGTATATCAGTCCTTCATAGCCTAACCCGGAAATCCACAGTGGCTACCTCTCGGTAGGTGCCATGTTAATATCCAATTCCATATGGTGTTTAGGTGCTTGTATTAATTATTCTTTAAACTATCCTCAGTGCCTGAGGTAATGAAATCCGTGACTCACGAATAGTAATCATTTTACATTAGTGAGAGAATTGCTTAAAAAGTTTATTAAAATTCATCACTTTTTACTAATTCAAAAAAAAAAAAAATAAAAAA